ATTGGACCACGTTTTGGCGAATGTGTCGCGTCGGACCTACTTTTTCAGCCTACGTGTTGAGTTCCGTATCGATGCGGTACGTATTGCGTGTTGCGTATCGGGGCAGCTAAATCGACGGTGTATCGACGATGCGGCTCGACGTGTCGGCGACTACAAAGGGTATGGTTGCGCCTGGGTGTGGTTTGCGATCGGCACTGCGGGGGCCCGGGGAGCACGACACTGTCCTCGCTGGGCCTTTTCGGGGCGCGGCGGAGAGCTCTGTCGAGGTCCCCGCCCGCCCCCCAGGGTGCACCCCAGGGCGCCGGTTGCAAACCACACCCCTTGCAAGCCACACCCTTCGGAGTCGCCGAATGTGGAGCCAGAATGTCTTCACGTTGATGGCGGCGATGCGGCGCGATCTTCCGGTCCCATCTACTCGGGCCTCATCGAGGAGGTCTACACGGTTGCCAGACGGCCGTCCTCCTGGTGCTGTTCCTACTTCCCCGTCCTCCTTGTCCTTCCTCCTTCTTGCCTCCTTCGTCTCGATCCTGGTCCCAGCTCCCTACAGTGGAAGCCCATGTCAAGAAACACCCTGCTTGCCCGCAGTATTTCTTGGGTTTCGATGGTTTTGCGATGGAAAGCGTGACGTTCCCATACAACATCGATGGACGTCCTGGGGTCTCAGGGTTGCGTTTCTTGCGGAAGGTTTCTTGTGGACTGGCCTCTACTGTACTGTCATCTCGATGCCCAGAGCCTTTATATTGCAATGGCCTCCGGCCAGTGTCGCCCCGATCCGGGGGGGGGGCTGGATGCTTGTGCGGCAAAGGGATGTGCAGGCGGCAGCGAGCTCCTCTTTTCTCGCCCTTCTTTCTTACCCCGCCTCATTTCTCCCTCCTCATTTTTGCTGTTAAGGTGGGAGAGCTGAGCTGGGGCTCTGCGAGCATTATGTAATGGCATTCTGCCCATTCCGCCACCGTGCCTTGGTTGTGGGTGATAATGAAGCATCTGATATGTTCGTGGGAATGCCGTGGGATGGCTCTCGGGTTTTTTGAGGCAGTCTTGAAGCCTATTGGGCGCCGTTTGGGGGCCTCTTGAGGCGTCTTGGGAGCCTCGCGGGGGTTCCCTGGGAGCTTTGGGGGGCCTCTTGGGACCTCGCGGGGGTATCCCGGGGCGGAAGGCGGACGTCAGGACTTATCGGTTCGGGCTTCCCCTGTGGGGCCTCTCTTGGCGCTGTCTTGGGGCTTCCTTGGGCCGTCTTGGGCGCCCATGGGGTGGTTTCGGGACGATCTTGTGGCGTCATGGGGCGGTGTTCGGGGGTCTCTGGGACCGTCTTCGAAACTTTCTGCAGCGTCTTGGACGTCGTGAAGGCCGAGAAGTCGGACATGCTAAAGGTATAGGTTTCCCAGAAGGAACCCAAAGTAATTGACTGTTGTTTGCCTCTTGGCGCCCTCTTGGGGCCTCTTGGGACGGCCTGGACGCTTTTGCGGCCGACTGGAGGCTATCCTGGGCGTCTGGGCCGGATCGTTCAGCGATTGTGTAGGGCCTAAGAGGTCCTGAGTCGTACATCTCGACGCCCGGAGTCTTCATCTCTTGATTGGCTGGAGGCTTCAGCACGCATCGCACTGTCATCCTCGGCGCAGAGGGCCTCCGCTTCTGATTCCGGCTGCCCGCGTCGAGCGACATCCACAGGTCGGCCCGAGTCGTGCTCCTCACTGGCCCAGCCCAGGAGTTCTGCGCACGCCAGCGCCGCGCGTGCGGTAGGCTCGCGCCGTGCAGGCGCGGCGGCTCCCCCTCTCTCTCTCTCTGCTCCTTCCTTCTCGCCTGCTTGTCTACACGCTCGCGTCCGAGGCTCCGCCGCTGCCTCCCTCCGCTTCTCTGTCTAGTTCAAGCTTCGCGCGGCCCGCTTAGCTTCGACCGGAAGAGGTGCGCTCTCGACCCGCGGATCAAACATTGTTTACACGCTTGCCGGGCCAGTGGTTGGATCATCTCAGGCGCACGACTCCCCAACGATGGCTCGTGAGCGTGGTGGAGAACAGCATCGATCCTGCTTGCCAGTTCCGCTCTCAGTCTCGGCACGTGCCCTCAAGATTGTTGCCGCCGACATCTTGAGATCTTGTGTTGCTCAAGCACTCCCTCGCGAGGCCGAGGCATCCTCTACTCCTGGTGCATCGCGCGTCTGGGCCGCAGACGCAGGGAACATTCGTCCGGGAGCCCCGTCGCGATTTCACCTGCTTGCTGTCGGAGTGGCGATGTGCGAAATGGTCCCCGGTTCCTGGCGTCTCGGCGAACATCTCCCAAACGAGAGACTACTGAAGCTCTCCACCCAGCCTTTCGCACACGGCGGGCGCAGCTGTGGTGCGGAGCCACCCGGCGGGGGAGGGGGCGTTACATCATACCCCCCTCCGCCCCCCCCCCCTTCCCCCCTATGACGCCCACCATCGCAAAACATCTAGAAACGCGGTCTATCTCCCAAGCGGGATCCAGCCAACCGCGTGGACCCTGAGGCCCGAGGTCGGGAGCGAACACGCCCATCGCGTGTTTTTTTGTCACGACGCCAGGCCCTTTTGAATTTCGCGGCCGCGTCCACAGCAAGAAGAGGCCTCGCTCACGGCATACAGCGGGGGCATTGGTCAATGAATAGGCCCAGGAGGCTCCAGACTGGGGGATTCCTTATCTGATGAGGGCGGCGGTGATATGCGAAGAAGAAGAAAAAATACACTATAGACATAAACTTTTGACGCCCCGCGCGGATTTCTTAGATCCGCGCTGGGCCCCCCTGGCGGCGCCTCCGGGCCTCCGGCGCCGCCCCTGGCGCGCTCTGCGCGCCAGGAAGGGGGGGCCGGCGCAGATCCAAGAAATCCGCGCGGAGCGCCCATAGTTTATGTCCATGTCCATGGCGTTTTTTTCGTTGTTTTTGTTTTTTGCCTTCCTCTGGAATGGAAATCCGTGCTTTCCCAGGCCCTGAGCTGCTCGTCCGCAGGTTCCGTACAGCCGGCCCAGGTTAGTAGGCCGGCCCTGCCGAATGAAGGGTGTCCTTGCGTCCCGTGTCTCGCGGCCCATGCTTCCTATATTCCCGTGGCCACGTGGCCGTGGCCCTCTGGGAAGGGTCTCGTGTCCTCTCGCGTGCCCTGTCCAATCGAGTCCGACTGCATCCGATGCCCTCGCCGCGTGGCTCCCCGTGTCCGCGGCCCCTCGGCGCGCCCAGCGCCTGCCAGCGCTCCGGGCGGCATGTTCTGCTTCGGGGGCCTCATGACGGTCTCCCTTCCCTGCACCCCTCCGTGGTCCCCCTTCCTCGTCGCCCTCCGCCTCCTCCCCGCCCCGATCTCTGCTGTCGTCGTCCTCGTCCCGCTCCACCTCCACCTCCACCTCCACTCCCTTCTCCTCCTCCTCCGCTCTTTTCGCCCCGTTCCCCTCCCATCGCCCTCCTCCTCCTCCTCGTCCTCCTCCTCCTCCTCCTCCTGGTCCTCGTCCACCTCCTCCTCCTCGTTCTCCTCATCCTCCCTTCCTCGTCCTCAAAAGGGGGAGAAGAAGAGAAACTGCCTGATCTTCGACGACATCGCCGAGGGCAACTTTCACGCAAGGTCCCAGAAGGGCTCGCGGTGGGAATCCACCCTCCGGAGTCCACCTCGGGTCCGAGTTGCCTCGCGGACGGCGCATGCGAGCCTCCTCCTCCTCCTCCTCCTCCTCCTCCTTCGCTTCATCTTCCTCCTCTTCCTCCTCCTCCTCCTGCCTCGTCGTCGTCGTCGTCGTCGTCGTCGTCGTCGTCGTCGTAGTCGCCGCCGTCGCCGTCGTCGTCGACGTCTTCGCCGTCGCCGTTGTGTCGTCCTCGTCTTCGTAGCCGTCGCTCTCGTCGTCGTTGTCTCCCTCCTTATCCTCTCCCCTTCCTTTCTCCCCCTCCTCCCCCTCCTTCCCCTCCTTCCCCACTTCCTCCTCCTGCCCCTCCCCTCCTTCCCCTTCCCCTCCCCTCCCCAGGGCGTGGGGGAGGAGGAGGGGGATGGATGAGGAGGGAGAGGTGGAGGAGGACTGAGTGGGTGGGGGAGCTG